GTAGCTTATTTATAGATGCGTCATTTAAATGTTCATTAAGTTCTTGGATTATCTCTTCTTCAGTTTTTATTTTTTTATGGGATGCTTTTTAATAGTTGCTACTTTTGAAAACGAATTATCAAAAAGCGCACAGAAACAATTATTGATTGCAACCATCATTTTAGGTGTTGCGCACTTCACTTTTGAATTACGACAACTTATTCATTCTCCAAAACATTGGGCTTGCGATATTTGGAATTATTTTGGTATTTTGATTCCTAACTACTAAAAGGTTTATAAGTTCTTGTATAAAATCTAATGAATTTATACATATATTTTAAAGATATAGGTGCAATGCTGTTCCCGGTAGTAACTTCTATTGTTTGGTTACAAAGTTTAACTATTCCTATCTGGGCCGTTACAATTTCTACATTATTACTTGAACTTAAATTTTTATTTTTTTTTCGTAATGTTGAAATTATTGGATCTTATTTTGCAATGATGATTGGGGTTGCAAAGAATGCCTTCTCTTTTTTAGTAATTTTAGGATTTATTATATTCGCTTTTGCGCACTCCTTGCATATTTTGCTAAGCAAAACGACTGATGTTCCTAGTGATACAAATAATTCCATAAAGCTCGCGGCTATATATAATTCCACTTCAACAAATCTTTCAACTACAAGCCCAAATACATTTATAAATTTAATTACAGCTATTTTGGCCGTATATATGTTACTGACAGGTAATTTTATTCACTCTTTTCAGATAATAGCTATTCTTATTTACAATTACATAATTATGCATAACTATGTATAGGAGATTCATCCTACTTGTCTAACTGGTCATTGATTGATGACCCAACACTGGCAATTTTGATTGTTTGTTTTTCTTTTTTTACAACAATCTATCTGATGAACTTATTTATTGGTCTGTTAAGCAATTTTATTGACGAAACAAATAAAAAGGAATTGTTTTTACTTCAAAGAGCAAAGGTAATATTTCTAATACCTTAATAGCTATATTTTTTAAACTAAACACATTTGTTAATACTTTTACAGATGTTGGCAGAAATTGAACTTTTTTATATGTTACCATACCAACGAAGAAAAAATAATTGGTTTCCTGAGATCATGTAAGATAAAGTTGATCAAAGATTATTTATTTCGCTGATGTTTCTGACGGTATATATATTAAATGTTATTTATTGCTTAAAGATTTTATAGATTTCATCTTGATAAACTTCATGATTTAATCAAAAAAGTAAAAAAGGATAAGTGGGAAGAAACTTTTGAAGCACCATTTATTTCTGATACACTTAAAAAAGTTACTAAATTTTATGTGGAATCAGATATTAAGAAAGATGTGGGCAAGTTACTTAAGGAATTTAAAAAAATAAAAACTGAAGAAGAGATAATCCAAGAACTTAATGAACATTTAAATGACGCATCTATAAATAAGCTACTTGAAATTAAGAAAGTAAAAACTAAAGAAGATATAATTCAAGAACTTGAACATTTTTTAAAGGAAGAACCACAAGAATAAAAAATTGAAAGGCATAAAGATTTAAGCTATCATCAATTATAATTAA